GAACAGGTTTCTACTTATAAAATGAGGTGCATTGATTACACGATAGGAAAATAAGATAATTTAGATAATTTAGTTGCATGTAGCTGTAATCATTTTAAAAGTTTAAAGTATTTGAAACTAAATTTTGATTTCTCAAGGGTACCTTGTTTTATATAGACATTGATTTACAGTGTAAATGTTAATCAATGTTCTAATAAATAGCAATTAATAAGTGATCTCATTTGAAGTATATGTATCAGAAGGTATAGGAAGGAGAAGATGATTCAAAAATATTGATGGTCATCAAATTACATGATAAGGAGTCTTTCTCTCTGAATTTTGAATATTTAAATTATTCTTTCAACCATTTGCCAAATCACACAACAATGCCTGGAAATGATGATCACCCACTCAAAGAGGGCATTGCACTGCTTTCTTTTTTTACTGTTTTTTTTTTTTTATTTGACAGAGAGTTAGACAGTGAGAGAGAGAGAGACAGAGAGAAAGGTCTTCCTTCTGTTGGTTCACTCCCCAAATGGCTGCTATGGCTGGCGCACTGTGCCAATCCAAAGCCAGGAGCCAGGTGCTTCTCCTGGTCTCCCATGCCAGTGCAGGGTCCAAGCACTTGGGCCATCCTCCACTGCACTCCTGGGCCACAGCAGAGAGCTGGCCTGGAAGAGGAGCAGCCGGGACTAGAACCCGGTGCCCATATGGGATGCCAGTGCCGCAGGCAGAGGATTAACCAAGTGAGCCACGTCATCGGCCCCCATACTATTTTGTTTTAAAGAATATTCAATTGGCTCTTTATTTTTATATGATGAAGCATTGGGAAGGGCCCTAAATATTTCTTATATGAACTCAAGTCCAACTCTACCTTCAGCTATACATTACATTTGGGGTGCTTTAATATAATTTTCTTCATTTAAAAAATGTATTAGCTGCAATGATGGACAGAGTAACAGTTAAATTTTGGCAATTTACAAAAAAATGAGATCATATGCCTAAGAGATGAAAACTCATCAAAATTCATATGGTACTTTATATTAAAATGAAAATTTCTGCCGTGTCAGTATGCTTTGTTGAATGGGAAGCAGTTATGGATTGGTGCACACACATACAAACTCACACACACATACACATGTACACATTAGGATACATGGTTTACATTCTATAAAGTGAGCATTAGAAATGTTCATTTATCAACAGTAGAAAGAAAGTGGTTAACGATCAAGAGGGTTATATAACAATTAGAAAATGAAATTGTTAATGTGCAGAGAGGTATTCACTAGAAAAAAAAAACTATGAACACGTAAATTGTTCTGTTTCCTTCACTAAAACTGATGCTTTTGCTTCACTCTAATACTCTCCATCACTGATTTTTCTGTGTATGTTCATTTCACCCCCAAAGATCTCTTTAACAGATTTATTTTGCTAGATGTGCTTATACTGTTGTCAACAGAGTCCACGTGAAAGGCATCTCAACAAGGTGATGGTTTTCCAGCACCCTTGATCTTTGAAGAGGCTCTCTTTCTTTTTGTTTTGTGACTTGGGGGATGCTCCCTCTAAAAACTCCATAAAAGTGTCAATGCTTAAATGTGACTAGCTTCAGTTCCTCCACCTCATGGGAAATACATCTGCAAGTAACAGCCACTTTGATGTCCAATGCATTTTTGTTCTGTGTGTTGGCCATATTCTGACTAGGAGAGGAAGGGTAGGAAAAAAGCATGCATCTAATCAAGTGAGAGAAAGTTGGAGGGAACAGCATGTGAGCAGGAATGGTCTGTGCTTGCCCGCGTCCAGCACTGTGATAAACAAGGGGCTGGCAGGGAAGACTCCTCCTCCTCTCCTTTCTGCCCCTTCTCTCCAGATGAGGAGCACATCTCACTAGCACACGGCAGGCCTGATTTCAATTCATTTTTGTTCCTCGCTGGACATTGTAGAAAGTCACCTAGAGTCTCCCGCTTCATACTTTGTGAGTTAATTATTTATTGATATGTTGCAAGCATGAGTTATTATGAGATGCATTCAAGTCCTGGCTCCACTCCTGATTCCAGCTTCCTGTTCATGCCTACCCTGGGAGACAGCAGGTGATGAATCAAGTACTTGAATCCCTGCTACCCATGTGGAAGACCCAGACTGAGTTTCTGGCTTCTGGCTTTGTCCTGTTCCAGTCCCAGCTGTTGTGGGCATTTGAAGAGTGAAGCAGTGGATGAGAGTTCCACCTTTATTGTCTCTGCTTTTCATATATATATATATATATATATATATATATACACATACATACATACATTTATATATATTTTAAATATCTGTCTGCAAACTTGGAATCTGGAACAAACCCAGTTGGGGATCTCATTGCCCACAACAGTAGAACTGAATGCATTCATCTCCCTACTCCCCTGCCCCAGCTTGCCCTAAATTGGGAACAAGGCAAGAATGGCCCCTCTCAGAACTTCCTTAGTATCTTCCTGAAAATCCTAAGCAGTGAAACAGGAGAATCAAAAGAATTAGAAAGCATACATATTGGAAAAGAAGAAGCAAAATCATGCCAACAGTAATTAAAGAAGGCCCGTAGAAATGAAGCCATGTTATTTCCATGCCTGGAAGGCATTATATTGTTATGATGTCGAGTCTCCATAAGTTGGTTGATGGTTTCTGCAAAATTGCAGTCACAATTCCACTTTGTAGATCTTGATAATTTTATCCTATAGTTTTTTGTGGAAATATAAAGTACTTTGAATAGCTGAAACAAATTTTAAGAAGGAAAAAACTAAAGGAATAATGCTAATTGATCTTAAGAAGTATTACAAAGCCATGATGCTAACAAAAGTGTGGTATTGGTTGGAAATCTATAAAAATAGATTGGCGGAACAGAATAGGAAATTCACAATGGACTCATATACAGATAAGAAATTTTTGACAAAGTTTGCAATGACAATTCAATGGAGAAATAATAGTTTTCCCCCAAAATTACACTAGAATAGTTGTCATCACATTAAAAAATTAAGCTCGACAATATCTTATACAAAATTTAATGTAGCTTTCATTTACCATATAAGTAGAAATGCAAGTTTAGAACTTCTAGAAGAAAATATAGGAGAAATTCTGATATGTGTGATTTGGGCTAGACAAAAAATTTTTAGACATAACAACAAAATAGGAGGAATAAGGCAAAATAAATAAATTGGCCTTTGTAAAAATTGGAAACTTCTGCTCAGTTCTGCTAAAGGAATGAAAAGTTACAGAATGGGAATAAATATTTGTAAATTACATTTCTTGTGGACAAATTCATCTAGAATATGTAAAAGACAATAATTATTAAAAATTTCAAGCTTTATAGACACATCTCCCAAAAAGGTATGACAAATGAGCATATAGAAAAGATGACCAATTTCATTATCCATAAAGAAATGTGAAGTGAAACTATAATGGTATGCTACTTTAATACATTGGTTTTAATATAAAATTATACAGCCACTTTAGGAAAATTGTTGGTTTCTTTTTTTTAAAGATTTATTTATTTGAAAGGCATAGTGACAGAGGGAGGTTGCTGGTTTCTTATAAGCATACTGATGCCTTAGTATGAGTATGTTACTGTTAAGTATTTACTCAAAAGAAAAGGAAGCTTCTCTTTATTCAGAATTTTTCTTATGAATATTCATGGGAGCTTTATTCTTGATCACTAAAATCAGGAAACAACCAAGATATCTTTCAGACAAAATAGATAAATTATATTACATCCATAGAACAGATAACTGCTTAACAATAAAAAGAATTATGGGCTAATACAGCAACATGGGTAAGTGTTAAATGCATTCTACTAAGTTAAAGAAGCCAGATTCCAAAGTTTTCATTGTCTCTGATTTCATTTAGATGACATTCTGGAAAAGCTGGCACTACAGGTGTGGGCAGCAACTCAGACTAGACTAAGTTACTGGAATTAAGACTTATTCTATGCATCTGCTCTCCCACAATATGGTGCTGGGAGAGGAGGAAACAGCTTCTACACAGCTGCCTCCAGTTCAACCAATAAACTGTAGGACCTGCTCCTGATTGGAAGAGAGCAGCGTACTCGGCGTGTGGGTAGCAGAGTTGGGATTGGTGGAAGAGGACTATAAAGGAGGAGAGAGACAACATGCACCAGGAACACCTGAGGAACATCTGAGCAGCCCCCGAGAGAGCCGGCCGGCAGTGTGCCACTCCCCCGCAGAAGTGGGGAAAGTGGCAGGGGGAACTGCCCTTCCACGGAGGTGGAAGGGTTGGTAGCCAACCCAGGAAGAACCAGCAGCAAACCCGGGGAGGGACGAGCAGACAAAAGAACAGCGCAGGGTTTAGTGTCGTTCCTCCGCGAAGAGGGGGAGCGACAACAGGAAATGAAAATAGTTCAACATTTGCTAGAGTTTAGAGTCTGGGGACAGTAGGTGAGTGCAAATGTGGGATGTGAAAGAGTTTTTGGATGATGAAAGTCTTCTATAAGAGAATGTATTGGACACATGACTCAAAATTCAAAATTGTATACTACAGGTAATATATTTTATTACTAGGAACTTTAACAAAATCAGCATGACTGTGAGGGGAACCCAACAGGGCATGAAGTTTGAAGCAAATTACACTATGCTAGAAAATTACATATTGAAAATGAATATCATAACCACAATAAAGTCATTGAAGGTAAAGGACAGATTGTAGTATTTTGGTAGACGATTGTAAAATTAGAAATGAAAAGCATCCAGAAAATGTGCTCTTCTGGGTGAAGGTGTTTCTCATGGGGCAATATCTTAGTGAATTTTAAACTACTTGAATGGCAGCATTGAAAAAATAAGAAGGTGTATTTCACATATTGATAGTTATGGTTTTATTATTCAAGAGAGAAGTTATAAATAATGAGGAAGTTGCAGGAATTGTGATGTCCATTAGGTCAGAGTTATTGGAATGAAGCTAGAGGATAGTGATAGAAAGATATAGTTAAGCCCGGGAAGCTGACTAGGTGGCGCTGAGGTGATCTGACGGCAGTGGAGGCCTCCAGGTTTGGCCTCGTAGTGAGAATTAAGAAAATCACAAAGCACATGTCAGTGAATCAGCAATCTCTAGATGCAGATAGTACAACAGATGTGGAAGTCATTACAGATACTGAAGAAGAACTTATTAAAGAATGTGAAGAAATGTGGAAAGAAATGGAAGAATGTCAGAATAAATTATCGCTTATTGGAACTGAGACACTCACTGATTCAAATGCTCAGCTTTCACTATTAATTATGCAAGTGAAATGTTTGACTGCCGAACTGTCAGTGCAAAAAGAAACACCTGAAATAGCTCCCCTAAATGACGGTGATCTGGTAACATTAGGAAAAGAAGAGTTCCAAAAATTGCAGCATGATCTTGAAATGGTGCTATCTACTATTCAGTCAAAGAATGAAAAGTTAAAGGAAGACTTAAAAAGAGAGCAGCAGTGGTTGGAGGAACAGCAACAGATAATGGAATCTCTTAATGTACTACACAGTGAATTGAAAAATCAGGTTGTGACATTTTCTGAATCAAGAATCTTTACTGAGCTGAAAACTAAAATGCTTAATGTAAAAAAATATAAGAAGAAACTCTTGATTACCTTGGGTGAGTTTCTAGAAGACCACTTTCCTTTGCCTGATGGAAGTGTTAAAAAGAAAAAGAAAAGCATTCAAGAATCAACTGCACAGCTGATAACACTACATGAAATATTACAGACTCTTATAAATAGATTATTTGATGTTTTGCATGATCCATATGTCAAAATTAGTGATTCCTTTTGGCCTCCTTATATTGAACTGCTGCTGTGTAATGGAATTGCCTTGAGACATCCAGAAGATCCAACCCAAATAAGATTAGAAGCCTTCCTTTAGTAATAGAATGGTCTCTTTAACATAGTAAAGATTCTTGTCATTCACTGATAATAGAAACACAGGGCATTCCTATAAAGAATATTATTTGCAAGTGGAAACACATAGTCCATCTTCCTTTTATCCTTAAATGATACATGCTGCCACCCATTACTCATTGTTAAATGGTCCTTGCTTAGTGCTTTGGCATTTTAAACTGTATGGGCAAAATTGTAAATAAAAAATATCCTAGACTCATAAAACATTTAATATGCTTTATATCATGCAATATTCTTCAGAAAATTTTTGTTAATTTATTATATTGCTAATGTAATATTTTTCTTTTAAAATTTATGTGTGTATTTTGAGCTCTACTTGGTACTTAACTCTTTTATGTTTAGCAATTGTAATGCAAAAGTGATTTAATTTGCAGATGGTTTGTAAGTTTGAGTAATATTTGTAGAAGGCTACATAATTTTAAATATTTAGTAAATTTTTTTCATGTCTACTACTTTTTTTTCTAGATTTGTTAAAAATTGAAAATTAAAGAGATAATGGGTAAAGGTAGCCTAAAAACTGTATTTTAATGTATATTGTATCTCAAATGACATAAATTAATCCACCCTTGATTCTACTAATTATTACCAACAAAATTATGTTCATAATATTTTGTTAATTTTCTGTAAATAAAATTCTAAATATCTCTAAAAAAGATATAGTTACATACATTTATATGAAAATAAATACATATAGGTGGGTAAAGGTAATTGGGTTACTGTATAAAAATATTACTTTGCTTTGTACTCTGAAGGGACTTAGGAGCAATGACATCCCAGTAACAAGGAGTATACCTAACATTCAAATCATGGTCTTAAATTTCATTCAAAGGAATCAGAGATCCTTTGAGAAATAGTTAATTCCAGGGTTGGGGTGGGAAAAAATACTGGATGAGACTAGTGTATCTTGTACCAGCTCAAAGTTAGGAAAAGCTTACACTAAAGGCAATGCTAAAAATAAGAGTCAAGGTGGAAGTGTTCCCAGTGGCCAAAGATAGAAACTTTTGAGCTACTCAACTATTAATGAGGATAATGGATTATAAACTCAAGAATGAAATACATACCCTCTTGTCTTTGCTGCACGGATAAATGCATCAGTAAAATGGCTTAAAAAGACATCTCTTCCAAAAAAATAATTTTTGGAAATTAGTAAGAGAAAATTTAGAAAGAATAACAGAATTAGAAAATTATCATCATATAGCACCACAGGAATAATCCTGCAGGTAAAATCCACTGTAGATATTCAAATCGTGATAGAAAATTTAAAGGGCAACAGGATGACTGGATGTCCTCAGAGTGTTTGCACTCAGTAAATATTAATTGCAAAGAGAGTCATAGCATCTTCACGGTGAAGAAATCTGCAAAACACAAGTGAGCTAAGTGCATGGTAACTAAGTGATTCTCACCCTCACCAGGAATGACATGTCCACATCATGTCTCCTCTCCTAGGGTGCAGGTTAGATGGGTACATTGCACACACGTTGTCCCTCGTAACAAGATCCATTCTGAATCTGATCAAGAAAAATATACAGTTCCATATTGAGGGACATTCTACATACAATTGATGTGATTCTTCATCAGTCTCAAGATCTTAAATAAAGACTAAGCAACCATCACCGATTAGAAGAGATTAAGAGACTTGGAAAATAAATGCAGTGTAGAATCCTACATTAGTTCTTGGAAGAGGAAAACAAAAGAATACTTCCAGAAAACCTGGTATAATCCCAATAGTGATTCAGGAATAGCGTTATGATTAGTATCCTTGTGATAACATCAGTATCATCTTATAAAATGTAGACTGGGAAAGCTGGGGAAAAAGCCAGTGGGAATTTGACTTCTTTTTGTAACATGTCTGTAATCTGAACTTTTCTCAAAATAAAAAATTAGGGACTGATGCAGTGTAGGGGTTTAAGCCATGGCTTGAGAGGCCAGCATCCCATATCGGAGCCCCAGTTTGAATACCAGATGAGTTCTGATCCAGTTCCCTGCTAAGGAGCCTGGGAAAGCAGTAGAGGTCCAGGCCATGCATGTTGGAGACCTGGATGGAGTTCCTGGCTGCTGGCTTCAGCTCGCTCCAGGCCCGGTGGTTGTGGACATTTTGAGTTCACACCCAGGCCCACTGGTTGGGGCCATTTTGGGAGTGAACCAATGGATGTAAGATTTCTCCTTCTCTCTCTCTCTTTCTCTGTCTCTTCCTCGCTTTGTCATTTTGCTTTTTCAAACAAGCAAATATGTTTAAAAAGTTAAAAATGTGCTATTTATAGGTGCAAATCAAGTCTCATGAAACCAAGCATTGGAAACTTTAAATCAGAAATTATTACATTGGCTTCCATTTAGCTCTAAGCAGTAGTTAAACAGGATACCGCAAGAAACAAAGCTGGAGGGTTAAGATACAGGTTCAAACATGAGACTAATAAGGGGGTGTAACAGAAAACACATCCCCTTTGTGTTTTTTTAAGATTTATTTATTTATTTGGAAGAGTTACAGAGGGAGAGAGAGGGTAGAGGGAAGGAGGGGAGGGGAGAGAGAGAGAGAGAGAGATGTCATCCATCTGCTGGTTCACTCCGTCAAACATCCACAAGGAACCAGTGTGCCTGTATGGGGTGCCAGGGTTGCAGGCCATGGCTTTACCCACTTTGCCACAATGCCAGTGCCTCTTATATGTTTTTTTTTTTTTTTACAGGAAGAGTTAGACAGTGAGAGAGAGAGAGAGAGACAGAGAAAGGTCTTCCTTCTGTTGGTTCACTCCCCAAATGGCTGCCACGGCCAGTGCGCTCCACTGATCCAAAGCTAGGAGCCAGGTGCTTCCTTCTGGTCTGCCATGCGGGTGCAGGAACCCAAGCACTTGGGCCATCCTCCACTGCCTTTCCGGGCTACAGCAGAGAGCTGGACTGGAAGAGGAGCAACCAAGACAGAATCTGGCACCTCAACCAGGGCTAGAACCCAGGGTGCTGGTGCCACAGGCGGAGGATTAGCCTAGTGACCTGCGGCACCGGACCTCCCATAAGTTTTTAACTGTGCTTGGAAGAGCACCTGTTACAAGGGGGAAAAGCAAAGCTCTCAGAGCTACAAATGAGTCAAACTGTAGGGGTCTTAAAAAGGGACGGCATTTGTGAGTAGGGGTTCACGGTCATGATGGCTTTGTGGAGTGGGTCTCACATGTTGACACACTCAAGTGCTGCAAGATCTCACCAGGCATGTGATCCTGTAGGATGGTCTTCTGTCCCACTCTGAGCCAAGAAGTTTCTTGCAAATCCAAATGGGGTATGAGGAAAATAAACTGCCACATAGCTGAGGAGCTGAGGACCTTGGATTTATCCTTTCTACCTGTGTCTAAACCACAGAGAAAAAGAATCTCAAGTGAGAAGTGAAACTGACATTTTAGATGCATTGACTTTGAACAGCCCTTGTCTCGACTGTTGAGGAACAGTTTTTTTTTTTTCCCATACTATGTGTTGAACTCTTTACATTTCCATGCATATAAAGTGTCTTCAAAATATTTGTGAAAATTGCAAATTACCAAAAAAGCTATGTATGGATTGCAAATGTTTTTGCACTGAATAAACATATCTTCTAATTCCATTTTCCTGTGAACTTTTATGAAGTATCTCACATATAAGAAAAAGACCATGTCCATCAAGTCATGAAATTAGAAGTCATTCAGGATCTTGAGGGAAAATCTGGCATAGTCACAGTCATCCTGGCATTCACAGTACTCAGGATCAGATAAGACCAGAACTGTAGTGGCGTGAGATGCTGAAGATGTTTGACTGGCTGTCTAAGCTGTGACAGGTTCAGTTGTGACTCCCCATTTCAAAGCTAGTAATTCACACATCACTGAGCATTCCAGTGGAACCCTTTTTGCTGAGAAGAGATTACTCTATCGGCTGTGAATATTTACTCTTCTATGTCTGAGCTGCATGCCTGATTAAACACCAGCAGTCAGAACAGCAGGTGATGAAAGGTACACAAAAGGTGTGCCTGCCCCAGGTATGAATGCCTCTACCTTTTACCACCTGTGTCTGTTTCCCTACTTACCCTTTATAACAATGATATTTTGAGCCTGGTATCTAAGTGATTGCCCAGGAGCATGAATGAATATTCAAAATCTCTGAAAAACCGAATGATAATTCAAGAAGATGCAGTTGTGACCGGGTGACCACAGAAGAATGATGCAGCTTTAATTACAGTATGATCTATGTGTCTTTACAAACCATTAGTAGCAGATACGTGTCTACTAGGGTTAACATGCTTTCTTTTTTATAACTTGAAAAATATTATTACATTGCTTTTAATTCTGGCCTATTTAAAAATAAAATAGCACAAATGTTTCAATGAAAGGCTAGCATGATAAAATATACTGAGGCACCCTGTTACTTTATTATCTGTTGCCACACAATAAAGAGGAAAAGTCAATCCACTGTAGTTGTGAGTGAAGTTGATCCAACTTTATCCATAATAGGAGTGCAGAGAACACATTATCTTGTCTACAAATTACTTTTATGTTTTGTACATGAGACTTGTCATGGACTGTTAATTTTTTTCTGGGTCCATCTAGTATAATTACCCGAATGTCTGAGGACATAAATAAAAGAGTAATTGAGAAAGAATGCATTCAAAGCTATGTGTTGTGCTTATGTGTGAAGCTGGTCAAGAAAATGGGCCCTAAGAAGCACTTTGTACTCCTCCTGGGATGAAAAATACTATAAGCTATCAGCAAAGCTTTATGAATCATTGGAGATTATTCAGAAGGGACTGAGACTGGGAGACTGACAGCACAAACCCTAAAAAACTTTTAAAAATTCAGTAATTCCTTCCTTTTAGATGATTCAGGCTGAGCTACTTCTGACTGCAAAGAATTTCCGCTGATGGAAGAATTCCACAGGAGAGAGAAGTTCTGTTGGCCAAGGAGGGTGCCCTCCAGAATGAGACATCCTGAGTAACTCTGTAAATGGATTCTTTTCTGCATTTTCCACGCCACCTAATTACAGAAACACATGACTTGTTAAAAGGAGTGTGACTCATTGCTAAACACAATTTCTCTTATCTTACGATTTAATGAAAGACGTATAGTTTTTGAACTGGGTAAACTGATCATGACTTCCTTTCTGTAGGGTTTGTTAAATGCATTGACTAATTAGGATAAATAATATAAAAATA